AGGAAACCAGTTAGAAAGCTATTACAATAGTCCAGGTAAGAAGTGACAAGGCCCTCATCTGGAAAGGAGGATGTAGGAACTACAAGACATGGTAATTGCTTGCGTGAGTGGGGGAGAGGGAACTGTTGACTCAGAGGTTATAAATCTGGGTGTATAGATGATGACACACATTCACATAAACTATAAAACTCCTGGAAGCGTTGGGTACACAGTGTCTATTTTTGTCACTACTTAGACCTATTTGCATTTGAATGTAGGAAACTCTAACATATAAAGAATCCACAAACACTTAATCAGTGATTCCATCTCCTCTTAAACTTTCATTCATTCTTACCTAAGTAGTTTGATCAATCAACATGCATTTTACTCAGCAAGTAGTGAGTGCTGGGCACTGTGCTGTGTTGAGGATATAGTGAAAAACGGTGAGACTGTCTCTGCTCTCAAGCATCTCATAGAGATCTGGGAGAAAGCCTACCCAAACAAATAAGGACATACATAATGTAGATACAGTGAATTACAAAGTAGCTTGGGGAATCAGTAAAAGACTTTTATTTCTCTGATTTTTTAAGAAAGCCAAAGATTTTAAGAGTAAGAAGAGGAGGGAGTGCTAGCCAGGCATTAAGAGAGCCAGAAGCAGCATATGGGATGCTGTGTGGAGAACAGCAAGGCAGCCAGGGAGTCACTTGAGTTTATTAAGCAAAGGGTGGCATGGAAGTCCTGCACTTTAGGAATAGCCCTTTGGCAGCTCCAGGAAGGATACAATGAAGAAAGGGAGATTTGAGGCAGGTGTGATCAATGAGAGGGCTATTGAAATAGTCCAGGTGAAAGGTAGTAAGGGCCTGATCTAGTCATGAAGGCTATGTAAGAGAAGAGAGAATACAGAAACCGTTAAAACTCAGCAACTGATTGGACATCTGAGGACAGGGAGAGGTTTGCTCTGAGGCTGTAACTAAATGATGGAATGTATACATAAGTGTATAAAACTCTCGAATAGCATATGTTTATTTATACAGCATGTATTTTGGCAACCATGTATATAGCTGTCAGTCAGCTGCCTATTATTATCCAGATTCTAAGCTCTTAGGAGGCTGATAATTATGCTGCCTTTTTTTATTCAGATTACCTATCACCAAAACCCCAGCACCTTTCAATCAACAAACATTTATGAAGTGCCTACTGTGTGAGAGACTCTGTACCTGCTCAAAAACCCCCTACCTATTCCTGATGCCCTGGTCAGGCAGATAGAGAGCTGGGGTTGAAATCAATGACTCATCTTTCTGAGTTCAAATCACTTTAACAAGTCACTTTAACTCTATTTGCCTCAGTTCCTCATCTGAAAATGAGCTGGAGAAGGAAATGGCAAACCACTCCAGTATCTTTGTCAAGAAAACACCAAAACAGGGTCACGGAGGTTTGGACATAGCTGAACAACAAAAATTCCCCATATTGGGGGAGGCAATGTTTATACATAACAAGTTAATAATGCCTTACACAGAACAAGGATTCAAAATTTGATTGTTATTCATAAGGTAAATGTTGCTTCTACCACCTCACTGTCTTAGAAATGACATAGTCATCACATGAATTAATAAATCAATCTCTCAACTCTGTGTCACACTTTTACACAAATTACCTGGCTTCAAGATCACACCCAATCCCTGTGAGGTAGGTAATTATTCCCATTTCACAGAAGAGGAAACAAGTTCAGACAGGTAAAGTGATTTAGCCCAATATTACACAGCTAATAAGTGGTAGAGCCCAGGCTAGACCAGTTCTTCTGACTTCTTTGGTCCAAGGAAAGGACTAGCTTTTCCCTGACCTAATTCACAGCAAAGCAAAGAGTAAAGCAGATAGGAAGGCCTTCTCTCCTGAAGTCCTGATCACTCAAAGCTTTCTAGGAGGGGAAAGATAATTACATAATACAGAGCTTATAATTATAGAACCTAGGAGAAATATACTAAATATGCTTAAGAGAAGTAAAAACAGAACAAAATAGAGGTCAATAAAGTGAAATTTGAGTCCCAAGACCCCTGAATCACAAGGCAAAAAGATTAATACACAAATAAAAGGAAAAACTTAAATTTAAGGCAATTTTATTTATGTTTATAAAGAATTCTAAAGCCAGTAACTGACAATCTTTCAAAAAAATACACTGTCAAAGTCATAAGGAGCCTAAAATAGTAACTTCCTTCTTTTAAACACTAGAAAAAAATTCAAACAAAAATTAAGAAATCCAAAAAGCTATATAAAGATTTATGGAGAAGGCTATATATAATTCTTTATTATGCTTGCTATTTGATTTGAATAACAATACTGCTGAAGAAGAAAAGTTTGCTCTTCTAAAGAACATGTTTTACTCCAGAAATGCTATGTCTAGTAAGAAAAAAAAAACCATACCCAAATTAGATGCTTTTTGATGACTGGGAAGAATTTTAAATGATAATTTTCAAAGACCAAATCCTAGTCCTTACAACATCTGTCATTTAAAACCTGCTATCTTTACAAATGCCTTCTTAAATGCAATTGTTTTGGTTTATATTTCATAGGATGGTCCCTATGAAACTTTAGGGTGGTTTTGGGTAAGAGCTTCAGAGAAATAAGTCTGTAAAAAACACTTTAACATACAGAATGCTGAAATTATTCAAAGAAAAAGGCAGCACAACTTTCAAAGAAATATTGACAAGAATATGACATTTAAAAGTCTTTGCAAAGGTACTACTTCTTCTCTTCCTAAGACAATGAGATTTTTTTTTTTGGCGAGGCAATGGGGTGAAGTGACTTGCCCAGGGTCACACAGCTAGTAAGTATCAAGTGTCAGAGGCCAAATTTGAACTTAGGTCTTCCTGAATCCAGGGCCAGTGCTCTATCTACTACTCCATCTAGCTGCCCCGATAATGAGAATTTAAATAAAATAACCTAGATAAAATTTTTTGGGTGAGAGACCATCTCATATGAGTAGAAGGTTGCAATTTCATAATGATAAAGTAAATATTGTAAATGGAGTAATTTAAAGCTGTTTTTCACAGTACAATGACAAAGGAAAAATCTCTGCCTAAGTTTAGAGAAGGAACAGAGAATTGAAAAATGTAGGAAAAAAATGTATTTTTCAGAGAAGCCTTGGAAAATAGGAAAGCAGAACCGCTGGACCAAGTAAGAAAACAGACACAGAAAGGGGAAATAATTTGTAAGAAAAAAAAGTCATTAAATAGGCCAGAGAGAAAACCAGAAATAAATTCCAGATTTCCTGGTCCACTGTATCTACTTGTACAAATATGCAAAGACTCACCAATTATGTAAGAAAAGACTATTCTTAATATAGACAAACCATTTCCTTTTATGTGGTTTTTTAACTTTTCAATTCACTTTTGACTTTAAAGGGAAAAAAAAATCTTCTCATTAGACTGATGGTAACCATTTAGTCAATTAAGACAAGGAATGGTCTGCTGTTTCTGCTTCCCTGTAAAGTACCTAGAAACATATACACTATGACTTATCTTTTCAAAGGAGGCAATAAAAGTATTTTTAAAAATTTTTTTAAAGGCTAAAAAAATCTAGGGGGAGCTCAAAAGGCTAGAGACATCCATCTCTATACATTCATTAGTTTGAAAGTCATATAGCATAACCTTAAAAAAAAATATCAAGTATTTTAATTCATTCTCTGGAACTACTTGGCATCAGTTTGTTCATGTTTATGTTTTCTTTAAGCTTAAAAAATGTAGTTCCTAATTTTTTAAGCTATACAGGAGCCCAACACTCTTTGTAACAAATATTTAATGATAATTTTTTTTAAATGAAGTCTTACAAACAAGGGACAAAAAGAATCATAAAATATAAAACAGATCATTTCAATTACATGAAATTAAAAAGCTTTTGTAAGAATAAAATAAAAAAGAAAATTAGAAAAGAAATGGTAAAGTGAGAAAAATATCCGAAACAAAATATCACTGGGAATATCAATATCCACACCATGCAGGGAATTGATACAATTGTATAAAACCCCAAATAAGCCATTCTCTAAAAAAATGATCAAAGTATATGAACAGTTTTTCAAAAAAGATTTGCAAACTATAGAGGACTACATCAAAATATAATCCAAATCACTAGTGTAAGAGAAATGGAAGTTAAAACAACTCTTGAGATCTCACTCCATGCCATGAAAATTGGCAAAGAGGAAAAACATTATAACAGTTGATATTGAATGGGCTGTGGTGAGAAAAGCACATTATGCATTGTGACAGAGCTATGATGTGCCCAACTATTTTAGATTTCAAGCTGAAATCATGGAAGAAAAGTGATCAAATTGTCTATACCCTTTGACTCAACAATCCCACTAGTGGACATAGACTCAAGGAAGTCAAAAAATATCAGTAAAGTTCTAATAAATACCAAAGTATCTACAATGGCACTCTTTGTGTTAGCAAAGAACTAGAAACAAAGTGGGTGCTAATCAAGAGGGGAATGGGGTAAGAAACTATGGTATTTGGATATAATGAAATGGTTTTGTGCAGTAACAAATAGTGAATACAAGGACTTCAAAGAAACATGGGAAGATTTCTATAAAATGACGTGGTATGAAAGAACAACTTTATATAATGACTATAACAATTTAAAGATTACTAAAAGGAAGGATTACTAAATAAAGTAATGGAAACACCTATGAAGGTTCTGGAGTCTGGAGAAGACATAATGAAACACCTCCCTCTCACAGAAGGGAGTGGAAGACTACTAACACAGAAAACCAAATAAATTGTCAGGTATGATCTTTGTATTGGGTATTTTTACTTAATTGTTTCTCTTTGTCACAAGGGAGGAGTCAGTGGGGGAAAGGAGTGAAAACGACTGATGTAAAGACACAGGGCATCAACAAAAAATTTCTTTAAAAGCAGTCTTATAAAAATAGGGATACCACCACCACCTATCTTATTCCCTCAGTGAAGGCAATTAATTGTCTTCCACTATAAAAGCATATCTAACATAGGAGTATCTTTTTACATACTTACTGCCGAAAGGCTGCCATTGTGTTTTCCAAGTTCTCTCCAGCACCTGTAGAAAACAAATAAATCACTGATTCATTTTACTAATACAAAAGTGCAATTCTTGTCTGAATTGCTGCATTTTAAGAAAATAAATCCAACCTGTCTATGGACATTACATAGCCATCAAAATGCAACCCAACTCAAAATACATTGTTTTAAGAGGTTAATGTTTATTGAGCTTTGTTTCTTGAGCTGCCTTCAGGAGCAAGCAATGATTAAAACATGGCCAAAGCAACATTAGCAGATAGAATAACTAAAATGCCCTCCAATGATGCAGTACCACATTCTTGCTCTCTTGTGAAAGAAGATGGCTTACAACATAGCACAAATTTAAAGAAACACCTAATATTTAAATGGAATTAATTTCTCTAAGTCTTTACAGGCACAGAGGGGGGGAAAAAGCAGTCTAAAACGAAATGACTACAGTTTAACAGGTAATACAAAAAATAGCCACATACTATGAAAAAAGTTAACAAAATATCTAAAAACTAAAAGATTAACAAAGATTTAACAGTTACGATACACATATGGGAAAACATTCTGGCAACATAACAGAAATAGGAAACCAATTTCTCCATAGTAAGAAGACACACAAAGTTTGATCTCCTTGAGGAAAGTTGTATTGAATTATTTCACAGGTTATTGCTTCAAAGTACATTTATAAGTGCATTAAATGACCATTTTAACTATTTGTTTTCTGTTGCTTGTTAGATAGTTTTAAAAAATCTAACAAATAACATAACATACACCATTCAAATACAAGTTTCATGGGGCAGCTAGGTGGCGCAGTGGACAGAGCACCAGTCCTGGAGTCAGGAGGATCTGAGTCCAAATGTGACCTCAGACACTTACCAGTTATGTGACCCTGGGCAAGTCACTTAACCCCAATTGCCTAAAAAAACAAAACCAAAACAAACAAATACAAGTTTCATCTAACACACTTGAAGTTAAGAAGTTGTGCATGAAGACAAAATCAAAGCAATTCCAACAGCGGATGATACAGAGTAGAATAAGGAAGATAATTTCAATCTAAGTCTTCCTCCAATAGACACCAGAGAAGATTACAAAATTAAATGAGAAATAGCCCCTGCTTACGTGAAACTCAGTACAGCATATGAAGAAATGACTAACATAATTATTTTTCCTTTATTTTTAACATTTTTTTTTTAAATTCTGAGTTCCAAATTCTCTTCCTCCAGCCCTTTCCCTACCCCTTGAGCATCAATTATGCATATAAAGTCATACAATTAGCAAAAAAAAAAAGTAAGAAAAATGAAGTGGAAAAAAGTATGCTTCAATCTGCACTCAGAGTTCATCAGTTCTCTCTCTGGAGGTCAAGAATATTTTTCATAATGGGTCCATTGAAATTGTCTTGGATCATTATCAAAGTGGTATAGTGGATAGTGCTAGGCCTGGAGACAGGAAGACTGACTGCTGTTTGTGAATTCAAATCTGGCCTTAGGCACTTACTAGCTGTGTGACCCTGGGCAAGTCACTTAACCCTATTTGCCTCAGTTTCCTCACCTGTAAAATGAGCTAGAGAAGGAATCAGCAAACCACTCGGGTATTTTTACAAACAAAACCCCAAACAGGGTCACAAAGTCAGACATGACTGAAAAACAACTGAACAACAACAAAACCTTAGGAATTTTCTTGGATCATTATCTTGATCAAAGTAGCTAAGTCTTTCACAGTTGATCATCCTTACAATACTATTGCTACCGTGCAAGATGGCCTTCTGATTCTGCATACTTCACTTTGCATCAGTTCATATAAACCTTCCCATGTTTTCCTGATATCATACCCCTCATCATTTCTTTCTTTTTTTTTTTTTTGCTTAGGCAGTTGTGGTTAAGTGACTTGCCCAGGGTCACACAGCTAGTAAGTGTTATATGTCTGATGCCAAATTCAAACTCAGGTCCTCCTGACTCCAGGGCTGGAGCTCTATCCACTGCGCCACCTAGCTGCCCCTCCTCATCATTTCTTATAACACAATAATATTCCATCACAATCATCTACCATAACTTGTTCAGCCATTTCCAAACTGATGAGCATCCCCTCAATTTCCAATTCTTTGCCACTATAAAAAGAGCTGCTATAAAGATTTTTGTACATATAGGTTGTTTTCCTTTTCCTTTGGTCTCTTTGGGATAGAGATCGAGTAGTGGAATTGTTCGGTCAATGAATATACGTACAGTTTTATACTGTTTGGGAGCACAGTTCCAAACTGTTCTCCAGTACATAACTCTACTAACAGTGCATTAATGTACCTACTTTTCTACATCCCTTCCAGCATTTATCATTTTCCTTTTCTGTCATGTCGGCCAATCTGACAGATATGAGATAGCAGTTAATTTAATTTGAATTTCTCTAATCAATAGTGATTTAGAGTATTTTTTTATGCGATTGATTTCTTCCTCTGAAAACTGCCTGCTCATATCCTTTGACCATTTATCACGTGGGAGAGATGGCTCTTATTTTTATAAATTTGGCTAAGTTCCCTAAATATTTGAAAAATTAGCTTTTTGTCACAGCAATTTGCTATAAAAATTGTTTTCCTGTTTCCTGCTTTCCTTCTAATTTTAATTGCACTGGTTTTATTTATGCAAACCGTTTTTAATTCTATGTAATCAAAATTATCCATTTTACTTCCCGCGATCCTCTTTAGCTCTTGTTTGATCATAAACTCTTTTATTATCCATAGATCTGAGAGGTAAACTTTTCCATGCCCCTCAGTTTACACATGACATCATCCTTTATGTCTCAATCATTTATCCATTTTGACCTTATTTTGGTATGTCGTGTGAAATGTTGGTCTATGCCTAGTTTCTGACAAACTGCTTTCCAATTTTCCCAGCAATTTTTGTCAAATGGTAAGTTCTTGCCCCAAAAGTTCTGATCTTTGGGTTTATCAAATACTAGATTACTATGATAATTTACTACTGTGTATTGTATGCCTAATCTATTCCACCACTCTATTTCTTAGTCAGCACCAGAATGTTTTGATGATTGCCACTTTTGTAATATAGTTTGAAATCTGGTATTGCTAAGCTGCCTTCCCTCACTTTTTTTTTTATTGATTCCCTTGATATTCTTGACCTTTTGTTCTTCCATATGAATTTTTTCTAGCTCATGCAGATTAACTATAATACAAAGTGATACCTATTTGAATTACGTGCTTTCCAGTAATAAATACTATGTGGTTTTCATCTTCTTACTTACCAACACCCAGCACAATGCCTTACATACAGTGTGTATTTCATACATGTTTATTCTCTAGTTGAGTCCACCTGAATCAGGAGTGAGGAAGGGTGGTTAAGAGTAAGATCAACTTGGTGATAAACTGGGGAACCAAGAGAGGCTTAAGGAAAGTGGTAGTTATTCTAGCAAGACTTTAAAGGATAGGTAAATTTTCATTACGCAGACATGAGGAAAGGCAAGTGGTCATTCCTGGTATAGGAAATATCTTTAAGCACAAAGGCAGAATATGTGAGAATAATGAGTCTATTTTGGCTGAACTATAGCACAAGTTGAGTATAAGATTCTAGTATGTCTCCCTCTTTTTGTAGATTATCATTTATTGTACTGTTTAAATCTAACTTTATGCAACTAGAGATTTTTGAACCCAGAATGTTGTCCTGGAATACTGGAGATATAAGGAATTTTAGGGTCTCCCAACCTAATTTTGGGTGGATCTCCTGGATCTACCCAAAACATTCTTCTTTTGGGTCCCCACACCCAGGTCTTGTTTGGGATCACCCCAAGCTTATGTTTTGGATTCCCTTATGTTTTGGCTTTGCCCAAATCTTGTTGAATGTTTATGCTTACTGATATCCACCTCATCTTTCATTCTTTCAATTTGCTTTCTTTGCAAAATTGCTTAATGGTGTATATTTGGCTCTCATGTGTATATATACTGTAAATCTCCTAGAGCCTAGATGAGAGGTACCCACACCTTCTTTCCAGTTCCTCTCCTCTACCAAACAACTTAATAAATTTCTTTCTATAACAATTTCAGATTCTGGGGTTTGTTCTCACAAACCACCTTTATTTTTGCACTTTGATATATTTTTATTTATTTCATTAAATATTCCCCAATTACATGTAAAAATTTTTAACATTCATTTTTTAAAACTTTGAGTTCTAAATTCTCTCCCTCCCTTAAGAAGGCAAGCAGAATGACATTGATTATACATGTGAAGTCAAAACATGTTTCCATATTAGCCATATTGCAAAAAAACACAAAAAATCAATAAATATAAAGAAAGTGAAAAAAGTATGTTTCAATTTATACTCAAGAATTCATCAAGCATATGGTACTTTCTTGATCAAACTCCTTGCAAAAACCAGCTACACACTATGCTTCTCCATCTCCTCTCACTCTCTGCTCAACACAAGTTTTGTCATTGGTCAGAATGTAATAAAATCATACTTACAATTAAAAAAAAGAATGGGAAAGAGTAGAACACTTTGAGGTATTTACTACTAAAATAACTCTGCTATCAGTGACTGGATACAATGCTAATTAACCTGTTAAATTAGGGTATCAATATTACCTATATCACACAGGTTGGTTTTGAAAAACACTTGGTATACTTTAAACTGTAAAAACACAAGTTACCACTATCTCTATTAGATGGTAATAAGGTCCTTAAAAGCAAGGACTATTACTAATGCTAAGTAAATTGTTTCTGAATAGGTTTTTAAATTTCATTTATCCCTACATATTGTAGTTGGTAGAATCTCAATAAAATGTTATTTCTGCTACCTTTTCTGGTAAAAAGGATCCAAACTCTCCGGTTCTGGCACCACCACCCCTTTCTCCATGTTTTAATTACTTATTACAACAACCCATAATGATGTTAGTTGACTTAGATGTCCTGGTGTGAGTTCAATTCAAATTTCTTCATTAGAATTGGCTCCTCATCCTAACTGCCCCATTTCAATCAATGCTACCACCATTTTCCCAGTCTCCCAACCTAAAAACCTTGCAGTTGCATTAGATTC